ATAACCCGAGCAAGGACAGGCTTAAGGCCGTTTCGGACGGTGTGTTACCCGGAGCCGAAGATGACAGGAAGTTTTTGCCGTTCTCTCTTTCTCTCTCTCTCTCTGTTTCTCCCTCCCCTCTCTCTCTCTATACAGACAAAAAAAAAATAAAAAAGAAAGAAAAATACTTTTGAACGAAACGAACGTCGATGATCGTCGGCCTCGAGGGCCCGGAATGGGGAAATGTATGTGCGCGGACTTCGCCGGAGTCGTCTCTACTACGGTGATTGTAGCGTAGCCGGAGCTTGTTGTGAATGATATCTCGGCTCCGAGAGATAACGGGACATTTTTGCCATTCTCTCGCCGAGATGCTCTCTTATGTAAATATACAAGTCTGCCACTCTTGCGATTATACGGGGACGGGGCAGACGCGATTACTTCGGGCCAGCGAGCCCGGCGCGATCGTAGTTTCCTCGTAAATAATACACACGCGGCCCGCACCTGCGGCGTGCACATATGTCTGTACTAACTCCGATACGCTCACCCTCCACGTATGCGAAATCGGGACAAATCAGAATGTCGACTACCGTTTATCGAAACTTATCGGTGAGGATTTATAATCTCATCAAGGTAGATAACGGGGCTCATCATATCTGTGAATGATATCCATGCGGTCTCACGGTTTTAGTCTAATGGCATAAAAAAAAAGCGTAGACGGTAAAACTTAAGCAAACCCTAAGCAAACCAATTCAATTCAAGAGTTTCGAAACGATAATCTCCCTTAAGATCTTTTCGATTTGATTCATTTATCTTCTCAATTTGATTCATTTATTGCCGAAGTCTTACTGCTATACGTCTTCCTATGTGCTGTGAACTTTACTAGCTTTAAATTATTAAGCGAGACAAATGGATTGAGAAATTTCCTTCGACAGCTAGACTCCAGAACGGCAGAATTTTGTCGCATGATGCACGGCGTACAGGACACCCTGTAGAAGGCTGTGAGGCGTGCCCACGGTTGGACTGCGCGGCTGATAGCACGATGGATCACGGGTACAAGCACCGTGTGCGACCAATGAGCCGTATCCTGCTAAACTGTTAAGAAGGAAGTGGTTCGTTGCTGCTGCTGTTGCCGCTGTTCTCTCTCCATCTGTCTATCTATCTAGCTACCGATCTATCTGTCCGTCTCTCTGCTCCTAATCCCATCCACGCACGCTCGCCGATGTACATACATATGTCTATTTTATTTATTTATACATCCGCAAGCCTCGACCTTTTTTCCTTTTCGAGGTTTATGACACCGTTTTCTGCGCGTACGATACGCACGATCGATTATTCTCGTGGCTCATGAATCAGAATCATAAGAGACGTGTACCCGAACGATAAGAATAAACATTTTTGAACGGTACAGATGAATTACGAATTATTTTTAGAACTGTAGGAGTAGCATATTATACTTATATAAATATAAATAAGCTTAATAGATACATCAGCTTATATCGCTGATAAAAAAAATAATATCGAGAAGATATATTAAGTGTACATAATGATTTTGTAATATCATTTTACCAATTTTGTAATATCATTTTATAGATTGTGTGGAAGTGTATAGAATAAATATTTGGTAAACGGGGTCTACATCGGTAGACGATATTTTTATCAGTATTTTTATAATTCAAGTCGATTATAGTATCAAATATTACATATGAAAAAATAAAAAAAGTTTATTGCTTATCGAGGTTCGTATTACTCAAGCGAGCGATCACATGACAGATAATGATTATTATATCGTTTCATTAAGTTATACTTTCAAAAAAATGTCAGAATTATAGCGTCGATTAAACAACTAAGTTATCTAATATACGATAATAATCGAGCGATATACTGGGTGTCCATGAAAAGCATACTCGATTGGAAGTAATCGGAAGTAAAAGCATAACATTATTTTATACTGGTTTCGCTATATATATAAATCATATACATTAAAATAGGTAATTTATTCTCAGATAGGTACTTACCGGTATCTTGCTACTCTTCAGGAAGTCCAGCAACGCTTCAAGAGCTCCTAAGGTTGATGCCTGAACGTAAACTCCTCGTTCAGCTAGTCGTATGTTTCCCAGAGCACTCGATAATTCTTTTGCTATTTCTTCTTTCATAATGTCCACTTCATCTGGTTTCTGTGCAACTTGCAGATTTAATCCTATATGCAAACATCAGTTCGTATAACTCAGTCTTAAAATCAAATACAAGAAAGAAGATACATATATTTTATATTGCAAAGCAAAAAAGTTAATCTTATTGATTTTAAAAATGAATTATGTACCAGCAATCGCTTTTTCTAGATCTTTAGCGGCAATTTTCACTCCTTGAGCAGCCTTAACTTCACGATGTTCGATGTACGCATTCTAGAAACAAAAAGTATACATGACGATAAATATTACATCTTAGAGTGAAATATGCAATAAGTAATGACCGTAACAATATTCCATTATTCTCAATATACAAAACGTAACTCTGAAAAATTACCTTAACTCGTAATTCCTTTAATGGTTGCGGCATAAGAAGCGAACGAATTTGTGTTACAATAGGTCCGTCCGTACCAGCGATGATGACCGTATCGCCTTCTCTTAACATTCCATTGACTAGAATACAATCTATCGTAGTGCCAAGTCCAGGCAATGCCTTGACTTCCAATACGGTTGCCTGAAGCTCTTCACTGTACATCAATCTTTTAGCCAAAGGACCCTGACAGGCATCGACTATTAATGCCAATAAATTGCCCATACCTTCGCCTGTACATCATACAGTGAGATGTTAAAATAATTCAAATATCCTTAGATGCTACATCTTATCATCAAATGTATGTGATTTTACCTGTTATAGCACTGGTAGGAACTAATGATACATATTCTCTAGGATCTGGATTTTCATAATACACTGCCGCATTCAGGCCTTGTTCAGCAAACTGTACAATAATGTCCTTGGACCGTCTCTCGAATTCTCGTTGAGTATTAGATTCTTGATTCTTCACTATATCTTGAACATCCTTACGATTCATAGTCTGCCAATCGTATAATCTGCAAAAATCAAATAAACGTGACTTTATAATGCAGTTATATGACTCATGCACAAAGACATAAAATGCAAATTATTCGATCGCAAATATCTTAAACTTATCGTTTTAATATGCGACATTACCTGTCAATTTTATTGAGAGCGACAACAAAAGGACATTTTTTTGCTTTCAATAAATTGATACTCTCTATAGTTTGCGGTTCCAATCCATGCATAATATCTACAACTAAAATTGCTATATCACAAAGAGAAGACCCTCTGCTCCTAAGATTGCTAAACGATTCATGACCAGGTGTATCTATGATCAAGAGACCAGGAATTTTAAATTTCATGTCAGCAAACTAAAAACAAAAAAGAAATAATATATATTGTAATATAATTAAAATTTTAATGTAAATAAAAATTTGAATCTCAAATAATACTTACACCTTTGACATGCTTCGTTGATTCTTGAATAGCTTCGATTGGTACGTTAGTAGCACCAATTTGTTGAGTTATACCACCGGCTTCTCCGTCCTGCACATTCGTTCTTCTTAATTTGTCCAAAATCTTGGTTTTACCAGTATCTACATGTCCCAAAACGCAGACAACAGCAGCTCTCAGGTTATCTAAAGATTTTTTCTTTTCAGCTTCTAAACGACGATTCTGAATTCGTTCCCTCGCACGTTCTTTTTTACGTGCTGCATCTGGTACTTTATCTTCTACCTCACTATCTTCCTCACTCTCATCCTCGGATTCTGATTCACTTTCGCTTTCGCTCTCTGTATCGCTCTCAGATGATTCTTTCTTTTCTACTTCAGCCGAAGTAGAGATCTTCTTAACAGGTTCTTCTACTTTTTTAGGCGTTTTAAGAACATCATCAGATTTATACTAAAAAAAACAAAATTTATGGTTACTTTAATATATCATACAATATGATCTCTCTCTCTCTC